GGCTGGAAGGCAGTGTGCGTGTGAGGTCCCCGCCTCCTCCCCAGGTCCTCCCGGCCAGCCACAGTGCCGCGATCCGCGATCCACGCCCTTCACCCGGCTGCGGGCCTGTAGAGAGGACAGCTCGGCCTGGGGCCCTGGGGCCCAACCGTGCCTCCAGAACACGTCTCTCCTGCATCATTCTTCCAGCAACTAAAACTGCTGTCACCATGTCAGCTGCAACAAATGTGTGTGTCCACAGCACCAGGCAGGCCATCCGTCACCCACCAGCGGGCATTTTTCATGTTCGTTTTTGTTACCCGAACTTTATATCCATTGGGCACATCCTTGGGGGTCATTTGAGGTCTGGGCCAGGCAAAGGTGTTGAGCGCAGAGGCAGAGCCCAGGCTATCTGAGCCCTGGCACCAGGGCTTCACCTCCCGCTCACTTCCTTCAGCAAAACCCACATCCTGGGAGCATTGTCATTAAAGAAGCGGGGGGGGCACCCCGGGAAGACGGTCGCGGCCAGGCCCAGCACCCAGGGCTCTGTAGCCCACCCAGCCCAGTTGCCACCCTGCCACCTTCCCTCTTTTCCTATCCTGCACAGCCATCCGGCCTCCAGAGGGGGAAAAGCAGCCCCAGACCCAGACAGAAACCCTGCAGGCCAGTGACACAGCCCAAGACACAACCAAACCCTGTCAGATGGCCGAATCCCAAACGCCAACCCACCGGACACAGATGGGAACCCCTCTTCATTGCTGGGGGGAACAACAGAGGAAGAGCTGCCTTGGAAGGCAGTCGGGCAGGTCCTGCAGATCCTGAGAAGCCAAGGTCATCTCAGGGCACGAAGTGCACTCCTTTATTTACCAAGTGAGTTGGAAATTTGAGTCCATACAAAACCCACTGGCAGATGGGTACAGCAGCTTTGTCACCAGTACCTGGGCTGCAAAGCAACCAAGTTGCCCTCAGTAGGCGGAGGGTAAACTGCAGCTCAGCCAGACAGCAGAACAATACTCAGACTAAAAATGCCGGCTCGCGCTATGGAGCCATAAAAAGACACATGCAAACTTCACATGTCTCCGGAGGTGCAAGGAGCAAGGGTGGGGAGGCTGCCACCATGGCTCCACAGGCAGAGCTCTGGGCAGGACGCGGTCAGCGGTCACGGGAGCTGGAGCAGGTGAGTGGGTGGAGCCCTGAAGATCTGCGCACCGGGAAACTACTCTGTGCGGCCCCGGTGTCCATGCACATGGGAGGGGCCCCGTGTAAGTGTGCAAGCCAGACTGCTGGTGACGATGTGTCAGGTGGTCAGGGTCAGCAGTAGACAGGCCCTCTGAGGGACACAGATGGCAGCAAGTTGCAGGGCATGGGGGACCTCTCTGGGTCGTCTGCTTGATTTTTCTATTTATAAAAGTTGCTCTGCCAAACGTCTTTGAAAAAGCAAAAACGTTGTCACTCGGCCATGAGGCTCGATTTCCTCATCTGCAAAATGGGTAGGAAATTCTCTGGCGGGCCACATAGCGATGCGCTGTCACCACGACATGACGATTCCCAACACAGCCTCCTCCCTGCAGCTGCTCCCCGCTGGGCTCCTCTCAACACCCCATCCGCTCCAAGCCCACTCGGCCCCAGGACCAGAAGGTCTCCTGCAGCAGGCACCCTGGCTCAGGCCCCCAGGAACAGATAGGTTGGAAGCCCCAGTGGAAGGGATGGCAGGTCTCCTGCAAGGTGACACTGTAGAGGGCACAGCTGCGGGCCTGCTCAGCTGTCCACTGGGGACAGAGGATGACAGATGGCTGGACAGTCTCTGCCAAGAGCAGTGGAAGGCTCAGAGGCGAGACATCCATCTCCCACAAACCCCACTGCAAGCAGGGCCTGCAGCAGGCCCAGGCAGGATGCAGAGGCCTGGGGACCCCCACCTGCAACCGTGAGTCAGGGCCCAGGAGGACAAGGGTGGGCTGTAGCTGCAGGGGGTGCCCCATGATGCACCCATCAGGGTTCCCCAAGGCTGCCCTGCTGGCCCCATTCTGCCCCAGAGCAGTGAGTGAACATCCATACTTGAGCACAGTGAGGGGGAAGGATTTGCCCTTCTCCACCTGACCTGTGCTGCCAGGGAGCAGACCCAGGCTGAGGGACAGCTCCTTATGCTGTGCAAAGCTAGACCTGAGGTGGACCCAAGGCATTGGCCCCATGCCCTCCAAGCCTCGGAGTCCAGCCTTGTAGTAACAAATACCTCAGAAAGATTTCCTGGAGCTCTGGGGACCCACACTATTCAGAACTGGGGACCCTAACAATCAGGAGGAGAGCCAGCACCGGGCACACTGCAGTGAGGGCCAGGAAGGGGTGCACAGGGCTGTGAGGGCACTGAGTAGAGCCCCAGTGAGAGCAAAGTGCCCCAAGGATGCCCCATGGCAGGGAGCATCTGTGTCTCCTGATTAATAACGAGCAGCACCACAGCCTGTGGGCTTAGGGATGCAACCCCGCCCATGAAGGCAGAGCAAAGTGCTCTGTGATGAAACAGGGAAGTGCCAGCCCCAGTGAACATGCACTTCACACGCACATGTGCACAGGAAAGCGGTTCCACACCCACCGTCCCCTATACAGGAATGTGTGCCTACTTTCCTGATGTCAGGCATATGAAAAATGCTACTTTTATGACCAGTATTACCCTGAAATAATCAGGAATGAAATAATGGTCCAGTAACCAAATTCCTGGCAGAGCTGCCGCTCGGGGTGAGCAGCTGCCCAGGTCTGAGCCGGAGTCCATGGAGCCCCTGCCCATGAGACCGGTCCTTGCCCGCCCCTGGATTGAGGCTTCTTCGACCAGGTGCACTCGGCATTGGGGGACCCGTGAACACTGGGGGGACACACAGGTGAGGTGTGGGCTTCATCTTAAGACCTCAGCCTCACACTCTGCCACCCATGAGCTCCCATCCAGCCGTTCCTGTCCCTGCCACAGACCCTCAGCTTGGCGCTGGCCAGGTGGGGATGGCGTCGAGCTCCTATGGGGATGCACAAAACAGGACAGACCAGAGAGAAAGCACTGTCCAAACCTCGGAGCTGGCCCCAGAGCCCCATCCCTGCAGGTCAAGAGCTCACTGTCAGCCTGCAGGGACTGAATTCAGTCTCATTCACCAGCGCACAGACTTGCTGAATAATGAGAAAGCTGGGAAGTCAAATGGCCTGTAAGGAAAGCGGTATTGTTTCAGAAAACAAAGCGTGCATGTGGCTTAGAAGTTACCAGTGCTGGTTTACTGACACGAAAGGAGAGGAGTAAGCCCTTCAGCAAACACACAGGCCCATGGACAAAGGGCGTTTGAGCTGGGGAAGGGCTGTGACCTGTCTGCTCAACAGCAGTGCACATCTTGCCAGTGAGTGTGGTCACCATACGTCACTTATTTTCTGGTTGTCCACCTTCATTTTAATTACAAACAAACTGAAGTGATTTGGTTTACAAAGAAAAGCAGTGCTCACACCCACAGACACTTAGCACTGAGTAAATCTGCAATTCAGGGCGAGCACTGACTTCGTGCAGAGCCACCTGCTCCTCAGGCAGGCGTCTTGCTCGCGCCATGACCTGAGAGCTTCTCATCCGTGCAGTTCCTCCAAATAGCATCTTCTGCCTGGGCCACAGACCCTGCAGAAGGCTGGCATCTGCCCGTGTCCAGGAATCACACAGTCACATGTGTGAGTGCTCCCTGAGATCTGGCCTCTGTGACAGATGATCTGGTAGGAAAATACTTGTTGCTGGATGTCCAAGAGACCCACATGGCTAGAAAAAGTCCTGCTGCCCTGCCCTGACATAGTTGTGAGCAGATCCAAAGCCACAGAGCACTCCATTTTAACACCGAGCCTCTGTTGGGCCATACATCCGAGCTCTGGGGACAAAATTATGAATGGGGCTGTCAAACTCCACTGGGACGGGGGAGGCCAATGACAGCTCCTGTCTGGGCGTGCTTGGTCCTCCCTAGCGTAACCTCTGCAGGAGACAGCAGGAACTTGTGAGCAAGGAGTTACCAGATGCCTAGTGCACAACATTCAGCCTCGTGGGGAAGGGGCTGGACCCTCCCATTCTGTTTAGCGAGGCACCTGTTTCTGCACAAGGAAGAGCAAGCGAACCCAACGCAAAGTATCAGCAGAGCACAAGCAAGGGAAGGAGGATTAGAGTGCCCTCACCCTCACCTACTACCACGTCCCTGTGGCCGAGCCATCTGGGGTGTGCGCTGGCGCCCAGTGCCTCAGGTAGCCCCAGCCAACTGTGCCCTCCACAGCCTCAGAGCCTCCCCAGAGCCGAGCACCAAGCACCAGATCCTCCGCTCTGCTTCAGAAGTGCCTTTCTGCCGCCCATGAAGACAAATGCAGGCAATGCCTCACAGCAGGCTCCTCAGCCCAGCATCTCCTCTTCTCCTTTCCTCTGCCTCCTGCAGCTGCGAGGGGCACCAGCTCCCCCTGCACCAGGCATCACAAAGGAAGCCCATCTGCATCTCCTCCGTCTCCTGCACATAAAAGCATGGGCTTTAATAACTGCAGGTCCCTGATCTACTCATTCCCCAAGGAATCCTGAACCAGCAGCCCAGCTGCTGTGTTGCTGTACTAAAGCAAGAGCCAGCCAGGAGAGTTCTGGCAATACAGATCGCTCTTGTATTCAGTGATTATCAGGAGAACGGTTAATTGGACACTGAACTTGTCTTCACAGAATGACAGTGCTGTAGTTCCGGACTGCTATGCAGCACTGTGCCCCTAAATCCTCCATGGCAATTAAAATGCTCCTTGATTGCAGTAATACTCATCCCCTGGGCCACCGCCACTGTCCCTGGCAGAGGAGTGCTGGACTTGAAAAGCAGTGCAGCCTAGGGTTGTGAGTCGGGGCAATGAAAAACCATGCTGCAAAGTACTGAGAGGCAAGCAGCCCCCTGGGCTGACCAGCCCAGCGCTAACCAGCTCCTCAGCATCTACCTGATGCCACAGCTCCGTGCAAGTGCACGTCCAGGGGGCGAAAAGTAAGAAATGACTGGTTCTTGACTTACCGAGGCTCGGTGGCAGCTGCACTGCTGGCAGCATCCAAATGCAAGGAGCAGAGGATTCTCAGCAGGCAGACAGGGGCTGCGTGCTTGGGCTGGAGGGAGGCCAGGAGGACCCAGCGTGTGTCCCTGCTCCGGTCAGTCCTGAGTCCAGCCAGGCTACCACACAGCTCTGCAAAACAAGCACACTGCAGCAGGGTGGCGGGCAGAGGACCGAGATGCATGTCCCATATATTCAAGCATAATAGAAAACACGGATCTGGAGTGGACTGCATGTGGATGTGGGGGCTGCCTGGCACGGAGCGGAAGAGGCAGGCGCGTGGCTGCTAACGGAATTAGCCATGGAGACGGACGCCTTGATTAGTGCGCGGTGCCGTCCCCCGGGACATCGATTCAAGAGAGCAGGTGCTCGGTCTGCTGCCTCCTCAGATGGACGTCTCTAATCTCATTTCACCAATGATCCCATTTAGACAGAGCCACGGATTGTGATGATATCACTCACTTGGGGAGCCATACATGGGCAACTTCCTAGGGCGCGTCACCACACTGACGACACAGGGCTTCTCAAGAGTGAGTGGGCAGGGTGCTGGGAGAGGCTGTGCACCCGCAGCGCCTGTTGGCTGGCTGCTCCCTGCCTTCGAGACCATCCTCAGGGAAGTTGCAGGGGACCAGAGAGCCCTCCACTCAGCTGAGCTGCAGGCGAGCGGGAGGAGAGTACAGCTTGAGGGCTGGAGCATGCTAGCCTCTGCACAGCCCTCTGCTTGCTGCCTGGATGCTGCCAGGCTGGAAACACAGGGAAAGTGCTCTGTGCACAGCGAGGGGCTGGGTCTTTTGTGACCGCTGGCATCTGAGGCTCCACCAACAGCCACCACCACGTGTCTTACTCCACAGAGCCACAGCTGGAGGGACAGAGGCAAAAGGGAAGATGAAGTGTCACCCAGGTCAGGGTGGCCACAAGTCCTCACTTGCGACAGAGAAGCTTCCCTTAGGTGCAGATGCAGTCAGTCAAGGAGCTGAGATTTATGCACACACTATTCTCTTCAAGTCTGAAGTCTTTTCTGCCTTCAAAGAAAGCTGGTGGTGAAATCCAAAAGCAAGAGAAAGGAAGGTCAGGGAAGCTGCCCGTGAGTGTGGGGGCAGGGCCAGTGCTCAGGCAGGTCCTTCTCACACAGGGTCTCCCCAGCTCTGCCCTCGGCCACACCAGTGACTCACTGGTGCACGTGGAAAAGGCACTGTGTCCACTCCACAGGATGCCTCACTGTGAATAGCAGCATGAGACTTTCAGACTAAACTAGGCTAGCACGGAGCTGGAGACTATCTTGTGGGCCAGTGGTGAGCTCTGTGAAGGCAGTGGCTTCGACTCCACACTGGTCTTGCTGTTGGAGAAGTATCCCTGAGCCAAACTCACACACACTCACACGCGCCTACATTTATTATTCAAGGTTAAAATGCCAAATACACCAAAGCTGTAAATCTCCATTCCTCATATCTGCTTCACCAATGCATCGGTTACTCCCAAGGTCCCTGCACTTGGTCTCAGAGACAGCGGGACAGCTGCCTGCTGCCTGGGTGAGCTCAGACCTGGGCTGCGCCCTCAGCGGAGGCCTCACCACTATCACCGGGTGGGCTGAGCACATCCGCTAATTCTTCCATCCGGGTCCCCAGAATGGATCTTGTCTGAAGTATGACCTTTACAGATGCAATTAATAAAGGATCTTGATGAGCTTTTCTCTGATTTAGGAAGACAGCATCCTTACAAGAGGGGACTGAGATGCACAAACTGTAGAGAAATGGCTGCACTGAGGTGGAATAGGATTTGAGTGATGTGTTCCCGTCGCAGGAGCCAAGGCTCCCCTTGCCAGCAGGCACAGGGCAAAGGCTGGCAGGGGTGCTCTTAGGGCCTCCAGGTGGTGCAGGCCCTGCCACTTCTGCACCTTCAGACTCCTGGCCTCCAGGAAGGAGAGGGGATTAACATCTGCTGCCTGTAGCCACTCCATCCATGGTGCTGTGCTGGAGTTCCCCCGGGAAACTAATGAAGTTGTGTAGGCCCTGGTTGTGACCAGCTGCTGGTTCTATGGCCCTGGATATGCCCAAGAGCTGGTTCCAAGGTCATGAATGTGTCCATGCCCTGGCTCTGTCCTGGACCTGTCTGAGCACTGATCCTGGGCCCAGGTCAGACTCCAGAACATTGTACAACAGACATCACAGGAAATTCTTAGAGCCAGACTCAGTTCCCAGGTACCACCACCCCAGCAAGAACTCAAGCAGCCAGTCATGTGTGTCCAGACTCCTCCCCACCCCATTCTGCATCCTCAAAGTCTCCAGCTGCTAACATAGCTGACTCCTTTGAAGTGCCACCCAGAACAGTAATGGGCACCATGACCACGCTCCATTCACTAGCCTGTGTCACCTCCTTCTGGCATCTGCTCCATCACCCTGGAAACAGAGTCCACTCACAACATGGCCTCTCGCAGGAAGAGGGCCGGGACAAGGGTGCAGCCTGCAGCGCCCCCACAATGGTGTTTATCCACGGTGGGGACCAGCTAGAAGAAGCTAGACCCAGGCCAGCAGCTGCACCTGCCCTCCTGAGCTCCCAGCAAGGAGAGAGACCAAGCTAGCAAACTGCAAGGACAGCTTGCACTCAGGTTGGCCCGAGCCAGGGGCTTTGCTCATCAATCCCCATAACCAACGAGGTGGTGTTCTTGGAGGCAAACTGAGGCACTGCTGAGCAAAGAGTCTAGACCACTGGACTCAGGATGTGGCTCCATAGCCCACAGCCCTAACTCAAAGCTGTGCCTCACTGAGAAAACCAAAGAGTGACTGGCAGCACACAGGGGAGCAAATGCCCAGTGATAAGCGACACTGGCCGCCCAGAGGATGGGCAGGAATGAAGGGCAACTGGGACCATGACAGCAGGCTGGACCATTGTCTGAGGTGGCCAGGGGACCACTGGGCTCGGGGTCTTCAGGATGCAGGCAGCCTGAGGTCTGAGTACATGTGGGCACCGGAAGGGGCCCTAGGGACCTTGTGCCATCCCCAGAATGCAAGCTCTGCAGTGTCACTTGAGCAGATGCTGCTGGGGCACTGCCACCACCCACAGCCCCATGGAGCCAAGCAAAATTTGCTGAGAGTTGCAAGTGAGCATCCTGAGCTCTGCTAAGGTCTTCTGCAGTGGTCCAGGGGCTGCCACCACAGGGGAAACTGAGGTTCAGATGTGGTAGGTGACTTGCATAGTGACACGGTATGTTCCTGATTTCTAACCCCGTGGTCAGAGGTGCTGCCCTTGTGTGTCACATCTAGGACAGGCTGAGCTCCTCTCAGGAGTGAGTCGGACAGATAATTAGAGCCATGCCAGTGACAGGTTACACAGCCCACGTGCTTGATGACTGCAAACTCGAGGCTGACCAGGTCTGAGCAGCAGTGCCTCCTCCCCAGCCAACCTCCTCCACCGGGCCCTGCCACAGTGTCACTGAGGCTGGCTGAAAACCCTCACACGAGAGGATGCAAAGGCCATCTACAGAACTGTACCCGCAGTGTCACGCCGTGCAGAGTGGATCAGACTGTGCACTGAATGCACCTCGGTCAGCCTGGGCTTTAGGACCCCATGTCCAGGGGCATTTCGGACCTCAGCTGCCTGCCTCCAGGAACTCAGCTTGTCCTCACGGCCCAAAGAACCCACTGCCTGCTCGCAAAGCCACTTCCCAGTCCCCACAGCCGGGCCTCCAGACAAAGGCAAAGATAAGGGCCTGCTAGCGAGCAGGCTTGACGCCCACAGAGGCTGCCACCCAGAAGGGGCTGGTCCTGCCAGCTCTGTGCCTTCACACTCTGGGCCTCCAGGAACATGATGCCTCCCCACACGTGGGGACTGAGCGGGGCCATGGGACCCCTATCCCTAGCAGGACTGCTGAGCTCCCTGAGGCCAACAGCAACAGAAAGCTTTTACAACCATGGGTTCACACCTTCCACAGAGAGAAGAGCAAGGAGTGAGGAGCTGGTCCACAGAACAGCCAGTGCAGCAACCTCCTCAGCTCTGCATCCTGAGATGTCTCGGCCTTAACAAGTGCTTTGTTTTGCTACATTAAATTAAAGATTACTTTCCTGGAAATGCATCCTAAGCGCTACTGTGGTATCAGTGAGTGCAGTCACAATCCTCAGAGATGAAAGGCCATGAGGTGTTGGCAACAGTCCTCACTCAGAGGAGTTACCCAGAGGCCTTCTGGTGCCTGGTCCTGCTACACTCCCAGCAAGAAGAGCTGGGGTTTAGAGCTCAGATTTCTGATCTTTCAGAGGTCAGCATAAGAAATCAAGACAGTGCAACCAGAAATTGCAGAGATAAGAAACAAACTTCAGAATACTCAGGGCAATGACATTTACAGCTATAAAAGGGGAAAAAAATTAGGCGACTGAAGATTTATGCCCTTGTTTACACATAGTAAAAAGAATAATTTTGTAAAACTGAAACCACAAGCAGCATTTGAATATGTGGAGTAATATGAACAGTATGTAATTGAAATTCACCTGTGAGTATGAGTGAATTTTAATTTATTCATGTTTCCTAATCACCTATGTTAATACAAATGGCTGGCATCAGTTTATCACAACCTCATGCATATATAATGCAAACTCAGTGTCCTGGTATCAGACCTTCTCTTGCATCAAGTACTTCCACAGGTTGTACAGATCAAAGGTTGCAGTGGCAAGTCCACAACTCAGGCATTTACTTGCAGTGAAACATGTATCTTAGGGGATCCACTGTTTTCTGAATTACCAAATACTGTCTCTCCCTCTACTTTTATGACTCACTGGAAATGAAGGCAGAGGACTTAGGGGGAGATTAGCATGTGTGGAGATCCTACCAGGTGCCTGTAAAATTTCAATCGGACTGAGGCACTGTAGCCACTTGGATGCAGGTGGCTGGGGTATTCCCATTCCACAACTGAAAACAGCTTGGCAGGGTCAAAACTCCAACCCAGCTTGATCAGCCCTGAAGTGAGTGCTGGCTCCAGCACAATATGAACAGAATTCCAGGGACAGGTAAGTCAGCCTCCTGTGCTCAGAACATCAGGAACTGGCCTTGGGGAAAACAGTTACACAGCCAGCCAGAGAACAAAGAATGACCCTTGGAATGCAGATTCAAAACATGCAAATGTCTTGAAATCAAGACCCAAAATAAAGGCACTAGGGAGAAGAGGAGAGAACAGGGGGGAGAGCTGAAGTGAACCAGAACAGAGAGACATGGGCATTAACCCCTGTGCCACAGGTGGAGCTGTGGAGGCACTAGAAGTATGGACCCAGAGAGCTCAGAGAGGCACAGGCACTTAGGAGGAGCGGGCTATAACCCCAGAATGCTATGGCAAAGGTTACGGCCACCCATACAATTATTCCACAGGATACACTTGACCAGGAGCATGTCAAAGGTTATAATCAGAACAATAGGGACAGGTTCTCCTAAAGTGAAAGTATAATTTTCAAATGCCCTGCCAGTTCA